CCAAGAGGGCAAGTCCCCCTCCACCCTGTACTTGCCGATCTTGTCTATAGACCGAATACCCTGGCACCGTGAAGGAAAGGTCGTCAGTAAGCCAAGTCTCACAGAGTCCCACGATCAACGGTGGTGCGCTGGCGATAAAATTGCTTAGAATTTGCGTCTTCTTAAAAAGGGAACGGGGATTCCAAAACACCACAGTATTCTCAGGATGGGGCGCCATTATTCCTGAAATACAACAGCTAACTTTTTGTTCACCTGTGCACAGACGTCTCCAAAAGGGAAACCACTAGAAAGAGCCATAAAACCCTCATACAAAGTAAGTAAAATGTGTGGTATCAATGACAGCCCAATCCAAAGGCTGTTGATCAATGCTTCTCTCTGCCTGACGGAAGCGGTGATCGGCTTGTGAACTCTATTGACGGTGCCTGCGACTGGTGGGTGCTTCACGCTGGGCCTCATGTTCCACCGGTGTCACAATCCCCTAGGAAAGTGCCTGGGGAACAGAGGATCATCAGGGCTATCTGTTGGAGCAGTACCTCTTGATTGATGGGTGTGTTGACGACACCGGTGTTGGCTTCTTTGAGGAGAGGCAGGAGGGTGACAAGTGCCAGGTCCATGTCTGTGTCCGTGGATGAGTTTGTCCATGTCAAGGCTACCCAGGAGGGAAAATCGATTAGCAACCTTGGTGTATGAGGCATGTGACTGGGATAGGCAAGAGCGTCTGCTAGTTCCTACTTGTGAAGAGGCCCGACCAGGGGGGAACCTGGAGGCGAGAAGAAGCGATAGGTTGATTGAGGGTGCGCAACCTCTGGAACAGCTTATGTCGAGGGGTCCCTGCTGTTTTATGATCTATGTCCAACTGGAGGGCCTCAAGATATACAGGGCAACTTTTGGATGTAACCTTTCGATGGCCATGGCATAAAAGACAGCAAGGTGCATCAGAGCACCCACTGTTATCTTGTCTGTATGGCCTGTTTTGCCACAGTTTGCACAGCGTGCTGCATTACGGCAGGTGAGGCGACTGTGGCCCAATAGATGACAAGCGTAACATCATAACACAGGGAAGTTATAGGGCTGGACCTGATATAAGGTCCTGTGTAGTGCCACCTGGTCAGGGAGGGGCCCATCGAACTTTACACGGACCATGGATGTCGGCCCTGCTGCTCCGCGAATCCTGGTAGCTTCCAATAATCCCGCCGATGCACCCCCTAACACATGCAGAGTGGCCTGGATGTCATCCGCATCAACACACTGGTCAATTGGGCCAATCTTCCCATACCGGGCCCGAGACAACTCCTCCTGCGACAGTACCTGTCGGCACCTGACAGGCCAATCCCCCAACTTAATAATGTCGGATACACGGGTGTGTGATAGAGCCTCCTTTCTGATGTGTAGCTTCAGTGCTGCACCCCTACCCAGGGTACGCATGGTCTTGGGCAGGCAATGTGGCCACAATACTGAAGCCTCAATTGCTGCACCTAAGGTATGAGGATTTGCAAACACGCATTGACCTGATTCTGACTGGATTAGGACAACCACAAATGAGGAATGAGGTACCACAAGAGGAAGGTCTTCTGAAGGCAAAGACATCCTCTGAGCATCTCGCTCTGGGGCAGCATCAGCCGACTCATTTTCCAGCAGACATTTTCCTCTCTGGGACTTGCTGTCAACATCCATAGCGCCCCCGCTTGGGGAGGCGTCCATTAGGGAGGCTCCGGCTTCTCTCCGGTGCTGTGAGCCCCCGGGCAGCTGCAGTGAGCACACACTGGCTCAAAGAAGCCAGCTGAATTCAAAGATGAGCTCCAGATGAGGTGTGGGAAAGAAAGTCCAGCCAGGAGTGTTCAGTCTGCGCGCCAAGATGGCCGACCTTCTGGCATCCCCCCCAACATTAGTACATAGTTCCATTTTGTTATTAATGTAAAGTGTAATTTAGAAAAGCAACTGGGGCATAACATAGAGTAATATAGTATAATTTAAGTTCAATAGGGCCAAGACTTACAAATACACAAGGATTCATAAAGAACACAAGTCTCCGTGATGTAGTGGTAAGATTCCCGCCTGGCGTTCCGCGAGTGCTTTGGCCTGGGTTTGTATCCTGGCCGGGGAGGATTTACTGGGCGCAAATCCTTAACTGTAGCCTCTGTTTAACTCAACAGTAAAATGGGAACTTGGTTGTAAAAAACGATTCTTCGTGGGGGTCATATTCCAGGGACCATAGGATTAAGAACTTAAGAACGACTTAATCAAACTAGAAATGCTCTTCAAATCAAGGGACCCAGAATGTGGAATGACCTTCCCAACCATGTTAAAGACTGTACCTCTCTCAACCAGTTTAAGATAAAAACGAAGCACTACCTAATAAATTCCCTGTAACCTACCTTACCCCTCTGTTGTCAATCCATGTCTGTTTTTTTTTTTTTTCAAAACAACCCTGTTTGAATGTAATTGTCTGTAATATTTTGTAATTGTATTTGTGCTGCTTTTTCAGCCATGTTCCCCCCTCTTTTACCTCTATTTTTATTTGTTCTCAACACATTTTATTCTTTATACCCATTAGTATTAAGCTTTAGTCATTATTGTTTTTCCTGCCCGAAACGCTTTGCTTAATAGTGGCTTTAGGCATTGTATGTACTAGCTCTTCTATTAATCCAACAAACTTTGTAAAATCTCTTGTATGTATGTACCTTACCTAAATAAACATTTATTTATTTATTTATATAACTTGCCCGAAACGCTACACGTACTAGTGGCTGTACAAGAATGTAACAGCTCTTTTATATATCTAAAAAAAAAAAAAATATATATATATGAGTAAGCTCTTTATAAATGATATGCAATAATTAAATGACACTTATTGAAGTTTTTAGTTTAGTTCATTTATTATGCACCCCATACCCATCTTGTGGGTGGTAGTGGAAAGGGTTACAGAGGCACATAATGGGCTCAGGGACTGAACCCCACAATTGTGAAGAAAGCATATAATTATTAGTAAATAAAATTTAAGATTAATACAATTAACAAGGGAAATTAAGTGAAATTAGTTACATGATACTGATTATGTAATGTTAATTACATGATATTAAGTACTGTATATATTTCTTAATCTTTCTTAAACTGGTTGGGAGACGTGCAGCTTTTAATTACATTTGGGAGGTAATTCCACAATTTGGGACCCTAGATTTGCATAGCTTTTCTGCTTTGGTTGAGACTCATGCTAGGAATATCAAAGAGTTGTTTGTTCCTTGTGTGGTGACTGTGAGTTCTATTACAGCAGGTTACTTTGAGCTGTGGGTTGGACTAGAACATAGCCAGTAGTTCACATATTCTCAAAGGATTGTCACCGGCAGTGCCATAACACCCGGAAGTCACCTAACAAAACATTCTCTTTGCTTTAGATTCTCAAATCATTGTTCTCTGCAAATAGACCACCCTGGTCAAAACACAGTCCTTAGAAAGCACTTAAGGTGTGGATTAGCATTGCATTTCAGTTTTTTTGAAGATACATGTATAGAGAACACGTGGAAGCATGTGCAGAGACTTGATATTTAACAAATTCATGTATTACAGTAAGTGAGCAGAGTGGTGTCTGAGACTGGAATATGTTATTGTCCTAATTGCTAATTTTTGTCGGGTAATCTGGGGTCAAAGGTAATTAAGGGTGGTAGATCCCCAGACACAGATACCATAGGCAAGATAATGATAAATGAGTGAATAATAGAATAAATAGGGTAGGGCGAGGAACATATTATCTGACTTTGGAGAGAATGAATGTGGTTATAGAAACTTTTCTAATTTTATATTGTATTCGGCAATAGAAATTTAGTTTGTCAATGTGAACACCAAGGAACTTCCCTTCTACTATGCTCGTAATTTGGGTATTGTTAATTCTTAGATTAGTTTGATTGTTGCACTTGTTAAAATAAACACTATGTAAAATGTCTCATCAATGTCAATTTGCTTAATTTGTTAGCAGTAGGCCATAAATGAACTTGATGTCGTTCCAAACAAAAAATACAAAAAATTAGTATTCACTGTGTCATTTGGAATAAATGAGTTAGCATGTGAGAAAATTAAAGTTGTATCATCAGCTAACAAAATTTGCTTTAAATGTTGCATGGTATATGGAAGATCATTGATACACAGAACAGTATATAGGAAAAAGGAGTGGACCAGGTATACTACCCTGCGGAATGCCACTTCAAATTGGCAGAATGGGCGAAGTGGCATCGCTCACAGAAACATACTGCTGCTTGTTATAGAGATAAGGTTGCAAGTCTTGAGGGGATGACCTCAGACTTCTTAGTGTTGGAGTTTGAGAAGGTTATTATGGTTAAGGGGTCATAAGTCTTATATCCCAAGTCTCTGTCCCCAGCAAACTACCTGCTGTACTCATATATTATTGATATTATCCTCTCACTTAAAACTAAATCCAGTAACCCTTCTGAGATACAAACCCTAATCTATAAAAAGGCCTCAAGATTTTTAGATCCTGCACTAGCATTGCTCTGCAACAAATCACTGGAGCTCCGAAACGCTGTGTGTGCAATGGCTTTGCAAGAATGTTAATTCAACTTATTTTCTTTATTCTCTGTTAACCCCCCAATGTAACTTCTTGTATATAAATAAATAAATAAATAAATAAATAAATAAATAGTGTGTGTGTATGTTGGAGGAACAATAAGTGCAAAAGGCACACAAAACTGATTACAGAGGCATGAAAGAAGTATGAACAATGCATTCACAGGCATGTGAGGCCAATAACAAATAATGTGCTTGGAGTGGGAATGCCATGTTATTGTTTGTTATTTATATTAGTGTATTTGTTCTATACTTATTCTCCAAAATTAATACAAAGCCCTCATGCACCTTGTATGTATAAAGATTAATCAAATCAATTTATCAATTTGATCACAGTTACACATGCAGTACAGATATATGCAAATAGCTATCATTTTATTACGCCCTTCTAATAATTAATACTTGTGCCTAATTTTTTTCCACAGGTTTTGGAAATGCACTACTTATGCCACAGGGCTTCCTAATTGGCCAAAAATACTTTAGTTACAAGAAAGTTACAGCAAATGCACTCTCAATGCTGGGTGGATCTTTAGGATTCATGGCCATGCCAACTTTGCTCAGTTATCTTGTAGAAGTATATGCACTAGAAGGAGCTTTCATGTTATGGGCTGGATTACTCCTTCATGCATTCATTGGTGCTCTTTTGTTCCAACCAGTAGAGTGGCATATGAAACTTAAAAGAACAGCTGGCTTTCAATCTGTAAATGTAGAACAAAATGGTGGGCAAAGTCAGTCAAGAAGTGATATTCTTGCAAGCAAAATAGTTGTCGCTGGAAAGACAGATGATCAGAATGTTGTTAATGCCTATGAGGATGACAGTGTTATCAAACATTTAGCATCAGAGAGAGATGAAAGTGATGAAAGTGACCATGAAGACATGCATATCACCCAGGATTTGGCATTGTGTAATAGTGTGAAAAGTGATTTATCTGATGCTTTAAATCTGTGTAACGCTAGACAGTGGAAAAACCCGTTAACTGATACTTTACAAACAAATGAATATTTAGAGCGACCTCGAACTGTGAGCATAGAGAGAAGTATGGAAATTCTTCCTCAGATACCAGAAGAAAGTGAAGATGAAGATTGTTTTGAAACTTACGATCAAGAGATTGGTAATGAACGGATAGAATTTCTAAATAGAGAGAATGAAGTTAGAAATAGACCTGTGAGCTTTATAAGTTCAAAGAGTGTTGACTCTTTCATAACAGCTCCATCTAGTGAGAGCATTTTTGACTATGATGATATCATATATCAGTTCGGCAGTGCCTTATCACTTAAGACTGAGAAACTTAAAGATAGATTACATGTTGAAAGAGAGAGAACCCAAAAGTGTAATTTCTACATATCAAATATTTCTAGTACACAATCTCATAAGCCATTTGTTATTTGTGGATTGAAGTTTCCAAAGTTATTCGACATGATAAATCTTCATATATTAAGACATCCAGTATTCCTTATAGCTGCCTTCAGCATCATGGTCAGCAGAATGGTAAGTGAATCAAGTTTTTCTTTGTTGGGTCCTATAAGTGAAGAATATATTGTTGTAGTTCATGTTAATTTTTCTCAGTGAAGTTAATACAAATTCATAAAGGTACTGTACCCTGAAAGCTGTTGTGTATTAAACATTGTTTGCTCCTCTTCAAATATTAAGATTTGACTTTAATAACATTGTAAAATAGAATGTAATGAAGTGAATTTATGTTTGCAGTAACTAAAAAAAATTTATTAATAAAGTTGTGAACGTTATTAGGAGGTTAAATGCTTTATAAATCTTTATATTCTCGGCAGCTGCAGATTACTCCTAATAATAATAATTACTCCTAATAATTTATTACTCCTAATGAACTTGGAACAATTGTATTAGGAGTAATATATTAGGTAATCTGTCATTTATGTGTAGCAACTATATTAAGAGTAATATAGTTGCTACACATAAATGACATAGATGAGAATACTACAAAACACATCATGTTTGCAGATGAAACTAAGATTTATGGTAAAGTAGGTAGTGAAAATGATATTGAGGTCTTGGAAAGAGATCTGCATGAACTCAACAAGTGGTTAGAAAATTGGCAGTTGCTTTCGAATATAAAAATAATGAGACCTTGCATGTATTATTTGTGCCTGCAGGATCAAACTGTCAGCTCTTAGACCTCACTTTTCTAATCATCAGTTGTGTAATGCACTGACCTATTTTCACGCAATTTATATTACTGCATATATTTCTCTAGAACATAAAAACATGCAAACACATGTATCATTAACAAGTGTGGTAGTCAAAATACTAGAAAAAATAGTTAAAACCAAATGAGTAGAACACCTGGTGAGTAATGACATAATAACGGACAGACAGTATGGTTCTCGAACAGGAAGATCATGTGTAACAAATCTACTTGGTTTTCATGATAGATCCACAGAGATTCTACAGGAAACAGATGGTTGGGTTGACTGTGTGTATCTGGACCTGAAAAGGGCTTTTGACAGAGTACCCCACACACATTTGTTATGGAAACTGGAACATGCTGAAGGGGTGACATGGAAACTTCTGACATGAATTAAAAAATTTCTAACTGACAGACAGATGAGGGCAGTAATTAGTAGCAATGTATATGACTGGAGGAGTGTTATTAGCAGAGTACCACAGGGTTCAGTTGCTACACTAGTAATGTTCATCGTCTACATAAATGATCTACTAGAAGGAATACAGAATTGTATGAACGTGTTTGTGGATGATACTAAGATACTGAGATGCTAAGTATTCCATGCTAAGATACTGGGATGCTGAAACCAAGATGATGCGGATGATACTATCTTCTCTGGAAGATAGGAGACGGAGACGATTAGCATGCCCTTCAAATAGATCTAGATAAAACAAGTGCTTGCAGTGATATGTGGCAAATGGAATTCAACATGAATAAATGTCATGTAATGGAATATGGAATCGGAGAAAATAGACCATACCTTACCTACCTTGAGGTTACCTTGAGGTGCTTCCGGGGCTTAGCGTCCCCGCGGCCCGGTCGTCGACCAGGCCTCCTTGGTTGATCAGGTATCCTTTGGAGGTGCTTATCCAGTTCTTTCTTGAACACTGTGAGGGGATTGCCAGTTATGCCCCTTATGTGTAGCGGAAGCGTGTTGAACAGTCTCGGGCCTCTCATGTTGATAGAGTTCTCTCTCGGAGTACCTGTTGCACCTCTGCTTTTCAACAGGGGTATTTTGCACATCCTGCCATGTCTTCTGGTCTCATGTGATGTTATTTTTGTGTGCAGGTTTGGGACCAGCCCCTCTAATATTTTCCACGTGTAAATTATTATGTATCTCTCCCGCCCACCATAACACAACTTACTGTATAAATTATGTGGAAAGTAATTTAAAAACTCTAATATAGAATGAGATATAGGGATGGTTTTGGATAGTAAACTGTCACCAGAGGAACACACAAAGAACATTGTGCAAGGAGTGTATGCATCCCTTTCCAACTTCAGAGTTGCTTTTAACTTTCTTTGGTATTTCACCATCCATAAACTGTTCATAATATTTGAGAAACCAAAATTGGAATATGCAGCATTGTGCCCATATCTCAAGAAGCATATCAATAAACTGGAAAAGGGGCTGAGGCATGCTACAAAATGACTAACAGAACTGAAAAACAATCATTACGAGGAGAGGCTAGAGGCATTAAATATGCCAAAGCTAGAAAAATGGAAGAAAAAGGTGATATGATCATCACTTACAAATTAAGAATAGGAATCAACCTAGCTGACAAAGAGGAATTCCTGAAACCAGCAACTTCAAGAACAAGAGGACACAGATTAAAGTTTAGGAAAGAAAGGTGCCAAAAAGAATATTATAAAGTTTTCGTTTGCAAGCAGAGTGGTAGTTAGAACAAGTTAAATGAGAAGGTGGTGGAGGCCAAAACTATGAGTAGTTTCAAAGTGTTATTTTACAAAGAGTATTGAGAAGATGGGACACCATGAGCGTAGCTCTCATCCTGTAACTATACTTAGGTAATTACAGTACACCAAAGCTGGAATATGCAGTGGTTGTATGGTGCCGATATCTTAAGCATATCAACAATCTGGAAAAGATATAAAGACATGCAATTAAGTGGCTCCCAGAACTGAAAGACAAGAGCTATGGGAAGACGGTAGAAGCATTAAATATGCTAAAAGTAGAAGATAAAAGAAAGAGGCGATATGCTCGCTACATACAAAGTTGTCAGGAATTGACAAAATTGATAGAGAAGAATTCCCAACACCTGGAACTTCAAGAATAAGAGGTCATAGATCTAAACAAAGCTGCCGAAGAAATATAAGAAAATTAACTTTCGCAAACAGAGTGGTAGACGGTTGGAGCAAGTTAAGTGAGAATGCGGTGGAGGCCAAAACCATCAGTAGTTTTTAAAGCATTACATGAGAGAAAGAGAGTGTGCTGGGATGACAGGACACCACAAGCATAGCTCTCACCCCTGTAACTACTCTTGGGTAATAATTACTTGTGCTTCTGGCCTAGTGCAGAGTGGCTGTGCTTTTTGGCCATGACAGACAGCCATGGCTGTCTTTCTATGTTCTATTTTGTGTGGATTTTCCTTTTAGAGTAGATGCTTCCTTTGCCAAGGCTCTGTTGCAAGATATCATTGTGAGCTACTGAGAAGGGCCTTTCCAAAAATCCATCAATAAATGTAATCAAATGCCTCTTTCTGGTGGGGCCATTCATCATCTTCAACCCCTCTCCCCTCCTCCCACAACAGAAAAAATAAATCCCAACCCCATTGCCCTTCTTTCCCTTTGAGAATCTGGGTTTGGGCAACTTGCGATAGTTGGCTGGTTGAGATTTTGGGTCATCTGGGCTATCATCTGGTGGCGGGTAAGTGTATGTAGATAGTGATATTATGCTGTGGTAATCATTGTTTGCATTGTTCTCACTGGCATTCCAAATTTGTCTAAGCACTTGCTTGTTTTGAAGTGATGACTTACTTTTTTTTTATTGTATTTTGATATGTTGATCCACAAGCTTCCTTCTATCACTGAGGGTACAGGGGGTGGGGGGGGGGGAGGGGGCAGAATCTGCTCCTTTGATCCTGGTAAATATTCACAGGTCATAAATCTGGTGTGTTTCCCAAGGCCAAATATTTCTGGGTTGAAGCATTGGGGAACTACTGAGTGGTCCACCTGGAAAAAGCCAATCATTATTGCATTAATCATTGATTTTTGTTGAGGAGCAAATGTTTTTGCTTATTGCCACAATAGGGTTAGATATAGAATAAATATTAAGTTGCATTTTTCTTTACTTATGTATGTGCTTTGAACATATCAGAAAAAGTGTTTAATTACAGAATTTATGTGGAGAGCCCCTCCGGCTTCCCGGAGCTATACCTGGCTGATGTGTGTGTATGTATGTATGAGACCATGGCATCAGTCAATTCAATTGGAGTTCTAGCCTACTGGGGCTTACAAGCCAGAACCTGGCCCCCTCAGAGAGGCACAATGAGCAATGGCCTATAGAAACCTCCATGTGGTTGGAAGCATTCTGTATCTGCTATCTACTGGATTGCACCTAGAAAGGTAGGCATCTCAAAACAAACTCCATGGGGCTAAAAATTGCTACCTAAAGCTGAACTGACAAGTATAACTCCCCCAATCCAGAAACAAGCAAACCAGTTTTTTTTCTTGAAATAAGGTTTTTTTCTTCATAACTGCCGCTGACTGAGCAGCTTCCCTCTCCCCGAGAGGGGGGATGGAGAGCCCCCAGACCCCCCATGCCGGCCATCCAACCCCAGTTCTGATGATGATGTATTGAGTGGTGTTCGTTCGACTCTGGCTCCCGTTTCTGAGTAGTGCTGTGCTTTTGCGGTATTGTTCTGTTGTAATTACCTAAGTGTAGTTACAGGATGAGAGCTATGCTCGTGGTAATTACCTAAGTGTAGTTACAGGATGAGAGCTATGCTCGTGGTAATTATCTAAGTGTAGTTACAGGATGAGAGCTATGCTCGTAGTGTTCCATCTCCCCAGCGCTCTGTCATATAACACTTTGAAATTGCTGATGGTTTTGGCCTCCACCACCCTCTCACCTAACTTGTTCCAACCGTCTACCACTATGTTTGCGAAAGTTAATTTTCTTATATTTCTTTGGCAGCTTTGTTTAGATCTATGACCTCTTGTTCTTGAAGTTCCAGGTCTCGGGAATTCTTCCCTATCAATTTTATCGATTCCTGTTACTATTTTGTATGTAGTGATCACATTGCCTCTCTTTTCTTCTATCTTCTGGTTTTTGCATATTTAATGCCTCTAACCTCTCCTCATAGCTCTTATCCTTCAGTTCTGGGAGCCACTTAGTGGCATGTTCCCCTGCTAGGTCCCTGTGATTGTACACGTCGTAGGGGTTCAGCTTTAATTGATCTCTCATTAATTTAAGCCGACCAGTTAGCAGTACTTTGCCTGGGCTTCCCTTAGCAGTTAACCAAAGGGCCCTGGAAAACCGCATTGGAGCTCAATGGTTCGATGGATGCATCCTCTGGGTCCCATCTTGCCTTGTGTGAGTTTGTAGGTTACTCTGTCCCCGTGTCTCAGGGTGACATTTACAGGTTTTACCTCCGTCATGCTACCTGTTGGGTTGGTGACATCTTCGACCCGGATTCCTGCGAGTAGTGTTCCTTGCTGTTTCTCCAATTCATCCAGTCCACTGATTCTGATAATAGTGTAATAGTGTGCATGCACGGTTTAGGTTGCTGTAACGTGCTAGGTTGGTTGCCTTTCCAGAGGACCATGGCTGTCCAACTTTGGTTATAGGGACCCGGACTTGGGTGCATTAGACATGTCAACTTTGGTTACATCTGCGCTCCCTCGTCCTTCCCCTGCTGTTGTTTGTCCTGTCCCCCACCCCCATCCCCAACCTGCTGCCAGGCCCTAAACGTCTGAGGGTTTTGGAGTCGGGGCAAGGTTTCGATGGTGGCAAGACTCGGGTAGTCTCGGGGACTGCCCCTTCCGGTTCAGCAACGGAGGCATTCGCGCCTGCTTCTCCTTGAGTGGTTGATGCTTGTTTGGTTCAGCTAGGGATGCATCATGTGTTGTGTTGTGTCCAGTTGCAGCTCTTCCCCATTTTTTGAGCGCCACGGCCTCCATGACCGAGGACACGCTTTGGATTGACCCTTTTCCCTTCTTCCCTGTTCGAGGGCTCAGTTTATCCAGGTCATCTGCAGGATTATTCAGTCCAGCCAGCCTGCGATCTATTCTCCTGCCCATGATGTTCGCAAATTTGCTGCTTTAGCTGCCGTTTCTGGTAAGATGTCTTGGGCTGACATTCAGGCACAAGGATTTTGAAGGTCGAACAGGGTACTGGCCGCCTGTTACCTCGTTAACGTTCCTGGCCTTAATCAGGCGTGTGTCGCTTTGGGTCACAGGTTGCAGCCAGTTGTCTCGACTTCGAGTTGAGATGTGAGTGGCGGCTGCCTCCCAGGTAAGTCCCGGGAGGTGGGACGTACGTTTACTTTTTCTGTGGTTAGGTAGCTCCGGGGAGCTGGAGGGGCTTTCCACAGAAAACCAGCGTTGAATGTAATCAAACACCATTTTCTGGGTGAGTCCTGGAGGCTCCCTGGCAACCCTCCCTCCCTCTCTCTGGTCGGCTGTTTTCACATTATTTACATTCAGCCTCTGAACTGGGGGTTGGATGGCCAGCACGGGGTGGGGTGGGGGTGGGGGGCTGGGGCTCCCCTTTTCCCCGTTGGATTGAGTTCTGCTTTTTAGTTCGGCTGTAGGTAGCAATTTGTAGCTAGGTGTCGTTTGTTTTGAGATACCTACCTTTCTGGATGCTAAACCCAGTAGATGGCAGACAGAATGCTTCCAACCACATAGGGGTTTCTATAGGCCATTGCTCCTTGTGCCTCTGAGGGGGCTAGGTTCTGGCTCATGGTCCCCTGGTAGGCTAAAACTCCAATTGAATTGACTGATGCCACAGTCTAATACATGCATATCATCCCAGTATAACTCCAAGAAGCCTCCGGGACTCACCCAAAAAATGATGTTTCATTGCATTCAATGCTAGTTTTTTCACCTTAATATTTTACAGGTGTATATGTCCTTTGTGAACTACTTGCCGTCACTTTCAATTGAGGTTGGTGTAGGAAGACAAACTCCCTATCTCTACATCATCATTGCCACATTTGAACTTGCAGCCAAGATAATTTCATCTTTAATTTGTGATCAGGGGGTGATGCAGCGCCGATACTTTGCCATCATTGCCTCTGTTAATTCAGTCTTGGCAAACTTAAGTAAGTGCCTAGCTTAGAGTGTAGATGATATTCTGATTTTTTTGAAAGATTGGTTTATAAGTAATCTGATACATACCCTTGAGAGTGCCATTGTAAACACCCAGGGCCAGTGGTACCTTAAGGCCAACTAGGCAAACTTGTAGGGCGCAAACCTCAGAGAGGGCACACAGTACTGTACTGACCTTTGAGGGTCACCGTTTTATACAAATTAATTGTTTTACATCAGGGATTACTTTTACATTTTTACATTGTATTACTTTTTCTTGCAATTTGTTTAGTTCATTTATTATGCACCCCATACTCATCCAATGGGAAGTAGTGGAAAGGGTTACAGAGGCACATAATGGGCTCAGGGACTGAACCCCACAATTCATTTAGCTAAGCAAGTTACAATCTAGATGAGCTAGTTACAAAATTCTATGCACATACTCACATGAACAATGGGCTCGAGACTAAACTAAATTTAGCAGTTTTAGGTTTTATGCTTTTTGTTTTTCTACAAATTAAATAAAAGTTTTTGAAGGGAAGTGCCTTGTGGCTTCCTGAAGCTACAGTGCCAAATTACTAGGTGCCATCAGTCGCGGAGTTTTTATGCATACTGGGGACCACAAGCTAAAATATGGTCCCCTCTAAAGAGGTAGAGAGAACAGCGACACTATGATAAAATTGTTAGTGAATTTTAATCATGTTACCCACTACCAGGGAAGCACCCACAATGTCAATGAAAGAAAATAGACCACTTCTGTTATAAGGAAATATCGATGCCTTAAAATCCCCAAAAAGAGCTCCCCTAGCAATGTAAAATGATCGAAAATTCATGAAACTAGCTCATGCTCATTCGTCCTACCTCCCCAGTCTTTTTGGGAAAAGTTGGGTCAGCCAGTTACTCTACTCTCTGGTCTTGTTGCTGGTAGCTAGTGCACTGGCTGTCCACTCTGTTGCTCTGGCTCTTGTGTCCTACTTCAGCTAAGTGGTGTTTTTTCTGAGGGATGTCCCGTCGACTTCTTGAAGCTATGTCAATGATTAAGTGCCATACTGCTAGGTGTTATCAGTCGAGGAGTTCTATTGGCCTACAGGGGACCACGAGTCAGAACCTGGCCCCCTCAGAGAGGCACAGGGAGTGATGACCTATCTATGAACACTTTAGGGGGGCTTCCTCACTTGGGGTGTTCCTCATCTTTCAGGTAATCCTGTGGTCTAGGACTGACCGTCTTTCCTCAGGTTGGGAGTGTTTGTTGGCTGGTGGGGTGCACTGTGGTCTGCATGACCAGTTATTTAGTTAACACAAGGCACGCCGATGTTTTTCCCAGGCTTCTTGTTTACCACAGTTAGGGCTTGGGGGGAGGGGGCTTTGGGTTCTTGTTTTCATAGGCATTTTGCCTTTTTTTGCTTTGGGGGTTCTGCCTTTCACCTTATTAAGCTTGCCTATGGTGTGTGCTGTTGAAGCCCCTTGCTACCCTGTAGGCTTTACCTTGGGTCTTGAGTAGCTTGATTGACTGCACTGACAGGGTTTACCAGTGTAGTGGACTCCAGTGCCTGGGCGCCTACCTTGCAGGCCCTGGAAAATCCCTACAGGCTCGGTTGTACTATGGATGCCTCTTCCAAGCCTACTCTCGCCTTGTGTGAATTTGAGGGTTGATCGTCACCTGTGCCTCCTGACGACATTCATATGTTCTGCCAAAATTGTAACTTGCTTAGCTAAACGAATTGTGGGGTTTAGTCCCTGAGCCCATTATGTGCCTCTGTAACCCTTTCAACTACTGCCCACAATATGGGTATGGGTAAATAATAAATGAATTAAACTAAAAACTAACTGCTTCCACCATGCTACTTGTTGGGTCGGTGATACCTTTGACCTCAAGTCATGTGGGACTTGTTCCCCGCCTTCCCCAGTGTGCTCCATATTACTCATTCTACTGTAGAAATTCAGAGGTAGCAAGAGGGGGCCACTTTACATCTCGGATTTTCTGTTTTGCAGTGGGCCAGGTTGTATGCCCGGTCGGATGCCCTGGATCTGCCCTGTTTGGTATTTAAGGATTCGGATTTGGGGGTGTAGTTCCATCTGCACCCCACTATTCCATTACTGATGGGCAGGTCTCCCCCTTCTCTTTTTTCTCCTGCTTCCAGCTCTGAAGCATCTGAGAGTTTTGAACTCGGGGCAGGGTTAGCTTGGGATGTGGCTTGGTTTCTGGAGTTTGCCCCCTTCCGATGTAGGCGCAGAGGCAGTTGAACTGCTCTATCCTGCTGAAGCTTCTGGGGTCTTCCTAGCTGGCCCCTTCCTTCGAGACTTTTACCTTGGACTCCGCTTTCCCTTCCTGGGTGGTGGGTGTGCATGAGTGCTCTGTCTTGGGGCCCTTGAATGCAGTTCCCGGGGCTTGAGGGAGTCGAGAATGGACCTGTTGGGTTCCGTTTGACCCTTTTTGGGCACTAGTGCCTTCTGTGAAGGGTCTGTTGCTACAGGAGGGGGGTTTCTTATCCCCCCTTTCCTGTATGAGTTTGAGTTAGGTGTGGCTCCACCCAGGGTGTGTTTCCATGTGCCTTTGGGCACACTGGACTCACCTTTCCAGAGGTTTCCTACCTCTCTTTTCTCCTTGCTCAGGCTCAGGAGGCCCTTGGTACTAACCTCCTGCATGATCCAGTCTATCCTCAGTCATGGATCCGGCCTTTTTCGAGTTCAGTTTATCCTCTCTCTCTCTTGGGTGCATTAAGAGGTTCCGGAGTCATCCCAACTAGCGAACTATCTGTTGTTTTCCCTTGGGAGCATGACATGGGTTTTGCCATATCCACACTGTTCATTGGCGGGAAGGGTCTTCTGTGTTGCAGGTTTCCTCAATGCGTGCCTCTTTCCTCTTGCCCTTTTCCATAACGTGGGTCTTGTGCAGCTGCATGCTTAGGTCCTCAATCTGTCGGCTGCCTTGGTTGCTGATTACTTTCGCACCCATTCACACTTGGCTTCGATCACTTGTTTCCTGAGCCTCCTCGAGCTTCATTCTGATTGGCTTACGTAGGATGTGGGGGTGCTCAGTGAGGTTCCTCTTGAGTGGTTTTGGTCTCTGCTGCTTAGGTGTTGTCTGCCATTCTTAAGCTGTATGCTTCAATTTTCCAGGAGGCAGTTTCCTTGTTTCTTCCTGTCTCGCGTGTAGACAGACTGTGCTTGCTCTTCCTTTGGATTTAGCATGATCCCTGGCTCTCATTTCAGCTTCTCCATTTTGTTCTCTACTGTTCCCTAAGAACATAGTTTCTCATTGTTTTATTTTTCTGGGGGGAGCCCCGTCGGCTCCCCGGAGCTATCCCAGGCTGATATGCTAATGTCAGACTTTTGCATCAGTCATGTGTATGGAGTTCTTAGGCCTACCGGGGACCACGGCCAGAACCGGGCCCCCTCAGAGAGGCAAGGGGAGCAATGGCCTATAGAAGCCCCCGTGTAGTTGGAAGCATTCTATGTCTGCCATCGACCGGAACAGGCACCCAGAAAGGTAAGCGCCCCAAAACAAACCCCTATTCTGGTTAAATTGCTACCAAAAACCGAACTAGTGGATAGAACTCCCCAACCGAAAACAAGCAAACTAGTGTGACGTCACACACTGCCGCGCCGCTGTCTGCGCAGCTCCCCCCTCCCCGGGAGGGGGAAGGGCGAGCCCCAGACCCCCCGCGCCGGCTACCCACACCTCAGTTCTTGAGGCTGATGCTATAGGCGATGGTCGTGTGCTCTGGCTCTGGTGTCGCTACTGCACTGTGCTTTGCGTGTGGTGTTAGTTTTGTGGGTGCGAGAGCCAGGAGTTATCTTCAGTACTCGGGCTGCATGCGCCTAGGGCTGCCTTCCCTAGGTGCCCTGTAAGTACTGCCCTTGGGGCTTGGGGCCACCTTCCACAGGTTCCTCGGGGTCTGCCTCTGCTGGTCCGTTTTACCTTTCGGTTTTTCGGCCGCCTGTTGGGCTCTTGGGTGTTCTGTTCTCCCTTGTTACCGGCAGGTAAGAGGCAGTTTGCACTGGTAGGGGCGCAGGGTGCTGCTCAGCTTGTATTTCCCGACATCGCGGCCGGCTCTGTTCCTTGGGGTTCGCTGTCCTCTTGCGGGGTTTTGTTTTTCTTTTTGTTTTGCCTGGTGGGGGGGGGGGTTCTGTCATTTTATTAAGTTTGTTTTTGCCCTTCCACTGTTCTCCTCGGTGGCGCCCCCTGCTAGGCCCCCGTGAGTGTACACGTCCCTGGGGTTCAGCTTTAGAAGTTTGCTTGGTAGTTTTGGGCGCTGGTTTGCAGCACCCTGCCTGGGACTACCTGAGCGCGAGTCCTCTTAAAGTAAATGCTCAGGACTCTGGGAATCCCCTAGGGGGCGCGTGGGTCAGATGGATGTGACCCCGGAGTCCCCACTCGCTGTGTGCGAGTTTGAGGGTTGCTCGGTCCCCTTGTCTCAGGGTGACCCTCATTGTTTTTGCCTCTGCCACACTGCCTGTTGGGTCGGTGATACTTTCGACCCTGAGTCCTGTGAGTGTTGCTGCTTGCTTGTGACTCAATTTACCCAATCCTCTGATGATTCTATTCGGGTACAGGCGGCACGTGCATTGCAGTCTAGGTTTCGTCTGTTGCAACGCGCTCGGTTGGTTGCTTCCCCGGATGCCCCGGGGCTGCCCCGCTTTGCTTTTCGAGACCCGGACTTGGGGGTGGGGGTCGCTTCGATCCTGGTTCAGTCCGCACCTCCTTGTCCTTCCCCTTCTGTTCGTTCTGGTCCCCCGCCCCTGCTTCCGACCCCGAAGCGTCTGAGGGTTTCGGGGTCGGAGCAGGGGTTACTTGATCTCGAGACTCGGGCAGCTTCGGGGGTTGCCCCTTCTGGGGGGGGGCGGCAGAGGCATTCAAGTCTTGTCTCCCGGCCGAAGCTTCAGGGTCTGACCAGTGGGCCCCCCTTCCTCCAGCTTTTCTGGCTGCTCCGTCCTTGTATTGTGGGGTCGGGGCTTGGGGAGAGGACTCGGCCTCGGGTCCTGTGGTGACGGACCTCGAGGCTGGGGAGGG